ACGACGATGGTGGTGGTGGCGGCGGTGACGACGATGGTAGTGGGGGGCGGCAACGACGGTGGTGGCGATGGTGGTGACGACGGCAACGACGGTGGTGGTGATGGTGACGGTGGTAAGGGTGGTGGTGGTGATGACGGCGACGTCGGTAGTAGTGACAGTGGTGGTGGTGGTAGAGGTAGTGGTGCAGCGGTTTCAAATATTATTTTTTAAAAAATATTTACGAAAAATAATTTTTTAAAAGTACTTTTAAAAAATTACTTCAAACGCACTGTTAGTAGCTTATTTTTCCTATTAAATTTAAGGTATTAATATTAGCTATTAGATTAATTTTAAAGTAAAATTTAAAACGATGTCAACCGCAAATAGTAAAAGTTATTTTGTTTATTTTTTGAAATTTGAATTATAAGTTACTTTATTATATAGATGTTTTATTAGAAAATATATAAATAACAACAATTATCAGTATATGTAAACCCCAGAACAGAAATTGTTACACAGATATCTAATCTGGTATCTTTTTTATATATGTTTATGTTGCCTATAGGAAATTCNAAACCCCCAGAACAGAAATTGTTACACAGATATCTAATCTGGTATCTTTTTTATATATGTTTATGTTGCCTATAGGAAATTCGCAGGAAATTAACGTGTTTCCATTTTTCATTGAATAGAAAATATAAATTTTGTTTTGATAGAGCATGACCCGTGCTGTCCCGAATAGAACGGCAATAAAGGAGAAGCCGGATATGATATATAGATAGCTATATATTCACGTGTTTAATAAATACAACCCTTTTTCAATTTTATTAAGTTTATCAGGTTGGTTTACCTATCTTTCTTTATATTATATTGGATAAATTATATTGACATCCCCTAACAGTTGGTTTTATTACACGGACACCCCCTCACATTTTCAAAATTATACCGAGACCCCACAAAATGAACATTGTTAACCGTAAAACAGAAAGACCATTTTATCCTCACCTTAACTATCCATTAAGGCCCAAGATTCAAGACCTAAGACCAAGACCCTCTCCCCCAACCGCCCCCCCC